ATAGCTCCATAAACAACGGGAGAAAACCAGGTTGGGTGAGAGGCAACCTAAAATTTCTGGCAGTCCAGAATCAGCAAATCGAAGGCCTGTCTCAAACAAAACAGCTTCTCACGAGAAACTTTGAAGTGGGCAAGGAGGATACATTCCTTTGCACCCACAAGAACCAACCCCCTGACCACTGGCACGCTATTACTGAGTCGGTCATGATTTACCGAATGGCCCGGATGATGGGCAAAGGAGAGAAAAGAAGAGTCTGCTGGAGGGGGGGCCTAGGATTCCAGAAGCCTGGGGAGGCACACCCTAGGCTCAGGGAAGGAGAGAGGTGGAGAGGGGCTAGCACTCCTCACCGTGATTATCTTTCTGCCCGATATTGTGCGTGCGGATGAGAGAGGAAAGTCTCCTCACATCCCCCTTGAAGACGCACTCGTGCACTGGGTAGTGTGCAGGGCAACTGCCTGCATCCGCGACGACAGCAACGGGGTTGGTGCCGGCCAGAAGGGCCGGGGACTGGGAGGTGGCAGTCACGGAGGAATTGTGCAGCGGCAGAGCCGGGGCGCCGGGGGGATTGGAGGAGGACGGAGCTGCCTTCAGCTGCAGCCGGTGGTGATGGTTACTGAAGATCTTATGACAAGATTTGCCGCCCTTGCCAATCCTGCTTCTGGTAAAGGTGCCGCCAAGGGCAGCCGCCGCTTCCTCATCCCCGGGCTCCAGCAGGTCCCCTTCTTCTTTGCTGGGCTTGTGGTCCCTCCGCAGTGAGCGGATCTTCTCCCCGGTCATCGCCGCCGCCAGGGGCAAGGCGGGGAATCGGGAGGCTCACCGCTGGCGACTGAGCTGGCGCTGCGGCGGCCCAAGGCGATTAGAGCGGTGGCCAGGAGCCTCCAGCGCAGCATGAACTCCCACTGCGCCCCCGAGCCTGGGACAAACGCATCTCCCGGGGAAGAGCCGGCTCTCGCCTAGGCACGAAGGGACGCGCGCTCGCTGGGGGGAGCTAGAGCTCAGGTGCCCACGACATCAAGATCTCAGCCTCGCCGTCGCAGCTACGGTCGCCGCCTCACACCGAAAAACAGGGCACGGCCATCTTCCTCTTGCTCCTCTCGCGAGAGCTCCCCCCGCGAGAGCTCCCCCCGGGAGCGAAGAGAGAGGAAACACCGCGATAAGAGAGCCACCAGCTCCCTCCCTCGCACCTTGTATTCCCAGAATCACTAGGCGCCCGCGCCTCCCAAGCAGCGTGTTTCCGCCCCGAGCTGGAGTTTCCCAGCTGCCAGCCGACCTCGAGACCGCACTCCCACCAACCGCGCTTTTTGTGGGCGGTCTGAAGCCACAGCCTGCGTTGGATATGTTCGGTGCATGTTATAAACAACCACTTAAACCCTCCGGATCTGCGCCTACCGCAGAGGAATGCAGAATGACGCCACGGCACGCAGGATGTGATATCGCCGAGATGCACAGAATACTCGTTCAATCAACATTTACTGAGCATCTACTTCGTGCCATACACCGAGCTAGCAAATATGTAGAGCACCAGTCCTGATTGCAAGGAGCACTATACAAGAGGAATGACAGCCAAACAATTAAAAGAGGAGGCGGGGTTGCACGCAAAAAAGGGAGGGGCGAATTTTTGTGTTGAGTTGTCAGGAAACTCATAGAAGAGTTTAGGGGCTGACTTTGGAAAATGATGGGCTGTCCAGCAAACGGAAAGAGGGGAGGCCACTCAAATATGTATTCGATGAATGAATTTCGGGCAGATGTCAGAGTTAACATGAGGGTGGAGACACTCAAGGAGCGCAAATAATCGTGTAACTGAAATATAATTGTATTAGTTCATGGCCAACCTCAACCTAGTGTCAAACTCTGAAGAAATGTGAATCTGCCAACCATAAAACTTTAACAAAGTAACTAAAGCTGGCCACTGAGGAGGTAAGGATGGGGGTTAGCAAAACATCCTAAAGATCTTAACCCATTTAGCTCTCCAAAGTTCCCCTATATTCTGACAGCAAATACTTCAGGTCTCTTTTTTTTTTTTTTTTTTTTTTGACATCGTCTCTGTAGTCCAGGCTAGAGTACAGTGGTGTGATCTCGGCTCACTGCGACCTCCATCTCCCAGGTCCAAGTGATTCTCCTGCCTCAGCCTCCAGAGTAGCTGGGATTATAGGCCCGCGCCACCCCACCAAGCTAATTTTTGTACTTTTAGTAGAGACGGGGTTTCGCCATGTTGGCCAGTCTGGTCTTGAACCCTGACCTTAGTGATCCGCCAGCCTCAGCCTCCCAAAGTGCTGGGATTACAGGCATGAGCCACTGCGCTCAGCCAGATCTCTTCTTTCTGAAGTTTATACTACCACTAACTCATCTCCACAAACAAACAATTCTGTGGGCCTCTCTTAATCCTCCCCGATCACTCAACTTTTCACCTCCCAATTTTCTTCCCAGTCTATTCAAATAAACCTCTTTCTTCCTTTTCTTTCTTTTTCATTGGAGTGGAGAGTTCCGTTTATGTTAAAACATTACCCAATCAGCAGTTCAAAGCATCCTCTTGCGACAGCAATAGAGATTGAGCAAATACATGCAGTAATATTTTCTTCTTCCACAATAGCCAATATTTATTGTTAACGCTAAGCCAGGCAGTATGCTTGGCACTTTATATGCTGTTATCTCCCCGTGATTAGCATTAATATCCTCACTTGAAGTTTTTTAACTTCAAGTTTAAAAAACTTGCCCAATACTTCAATGCTAGCATGTGGTATAATCAAATCTGACTGTAAGGCTAGAGAGAGAGGAAGGGCCAGGTCATGCAGGGCTTTGTATGTCATCTTAAAAGTTTACACTTGGCCAGGCGCGGTGGCTCACGCCTGTAATCCCAGCTCTGTGGGAGGCCGAGGCAGGCGGATCATGAGGTCAGGAGTTTGAGACCAGCCTGGCCAATATGGTGAAACCCCCTCTCTACTAAAAACACAAACATTAGCTGGATGTGGTGGCATTCGCCTGTACTCCCAGCTACTCCGGAGGCTGAGGCAGAAGAATCGCTTGAACCCAGGAGGCAGGGCTGCAGTGGGCCGAGATCATGCCACTGCACTCCAGCCTCAGCAACACAGTGAGACTCTGTCCAAAAAAAAAAAAGAGAGAGAATAGTCTTTTTAGAGAACTTAAAGCAGGGAATAGCATAATGCAATTCACCTTTTTAGAAAATTCAGTCACTCAGGCCAGGCGCAGTGGCTCATGCCTGTAATCCCACCACTTTGGAAGACCGAGGTGGGGGGATCACCTGAGGTCAGGAGTTCAAAACCAGCCTGGTCAACATGGTGAAACCCCGTCTCTACTAAAAATACAAAAATTAGCTGGGCATGGTGGGCACCTGTAATCCCAGCTACTCAGGGGGCTGAGGCAGGAGAATCGCTTGAACCTGGGAGGTGGAGGTTGCAGTGAGCCAAGACCGTGCCATTGCACTGCAGCCTGGGTGAGAAGAGCAAAACTCCATCTCTAAATAAATAAATAAATAAATAAATGAAAATTCAGTCACTCATACTTTAGATAAGCATCAAGAACAGAATTTTAAAGAAGTGTGCAGTAATTCAGATGATGAGAGCATGAACCAAGTTAGTGAGAGTGAGGCAGGAAAAGGTTTAAGAGATTTTTTTTAAAATGAGTTCAATCTTAGCATATTGAGTTGAAAGTTGCTTATCTGTAGGGAGTTAGATGGTCTACATTTTAGATATTTGCAAGTGATCCTTAGGTGACAGAGAACCAGGTATAGGCTGGATTCAGAAGTTATTATTACACAGAAATTGATGCTCAAGAAGTAGGTGAGGGCCGGCCGCGGTGGCTCAAGCCTGTAATCCCAGCACTTTGGGAGGCCGAGACGGGTGGATCACAAGGTCAGGAGATCGAGACCATCCTGGCTAACCGCGTGAAACCCCGTCTCTACTAAAAACTACAAAACACTAGCCAGGCGAGGTGGCGGGCGCCTGCAGTCCCAGCTACTCGGGAGGCTGACGCAGGAGAATGGTGTAAACCTGGGAGGCGGAGCTTGCAGTGAGCTGAGATCCGGCCACTGCACTCCAGCCTGGGTGACAGAGCGAGACTCCGTCTCAAAAAAAAAAAAAAAAAAAAAAAAAAGAAGTAGGTGAGTTCCCCAAAGAAGAGTTTATAGAGTGAGAAATTAAGAAGGTCCAGTATAGAACAAAATCTTGAAAACACCAATATTCAAAGCGTGTGTATAGGGAAAGTGGCCAGCATACTATTATTACTAAAAACCTACACCAAATAATATCTCATTATACTTGTGAAGTATTCTATCACTAGATCCTAGATTTGAAATTTCTTTATTAGTGGCTGTCACCCATGAATGACATGGATGTCACCCATGGAATGTGGAAACTCCTAAGTATCCCTCCAGTAAAATCAAACACCATACATACCAAAAATAATAGTCAGGCCAAGTGTGGTAGCTCACACCTATAATCCCAACACTTTGAAAGACCAAAGCGGGAGGATCACTTGAGGTCAGGAGTTTGAAACCAGCCTAGGCAACATAGTGGAATCCCATCTCTATCAAAAAATATAAAAAATTAGCCACCTGTGGTGCTGAACACCTGTAGTCCCAGCTACTCAGGAGGCTGGAGTGGGAGACCCACTTGAGCCCAGGAGTCCAAGGCTGCAGTGAACTGGGATTGCACCACTGCACACCAGCCTGAGTGACAGGTAACCTGTTTTAAAAGTAAATCATCACTCTTAGCAAACTATTGCAAGAATAGAAAATCAAACACCACATGTTTTCACTCATAGGTGGGAACTGAACAATGAAAACACTTGGAAACAGGAAGGGGAACATCCCACACTGGGGCTTGTTGTGGGGAGGGGGGAGGAAGGAGGGCTAACATTAGGAGATATACCTAATGTAAATGACGAATTAATGGGTGCAGCACACCAACATGGCACATGTATACATATGTAACAAACCTGCACGTTGTGCACATGTACCCTAGAACTTAAAGTATAATAAAAAAGAAAAATAAATAAATAAATAAAATTCACCTTTATTTATTATTTATGTTACTTAATTTTGAGACGGAGTTTTGCTCTTGTTGCCCATGCTGGACTGCAACGGTGTGGTCTCGGCTCACTGCAACCTCTGCCTTCTGGGTTCAAACGATTCTCCTGCCTCAGCCTCCCAAGTAGTTGAGATTACAGGTCTCCATCAGCATGCCCAGCTATTTTTTGTATTTTTAATAGAGATAGGGTTTCACCATGTAGGACAGGCTGGTCTCGAACCTCTGACCTCAGGTGATCTGCCCACCTTGGCCTCCCAAAGTGCTGGGATTACAGGCATGAACCACCATACCAGGACTTATTTTTTGTTGTTTTTTTGAGATGGGGTCTCATTTTGTCAGCTAGGCTGAAGTGCAGTGGTGTGATTTCAGCTCACTGCAACCTCCACCTCCCAGGCTCAAGTGGATCCTCCTGCTTCAGCCTCCCAAGTACTGGCACTATAGGGCCTGGCTAATTTTTGTATTTTTTTGTAGAAACTGGGTTTGACCATGTCACCCAGGCTAATCTCAAACTCCTGGACTCAAACCATTAACTCACCTCGGCTTCCTGAAGTGTTGGGGTTACAGGTGTGAGCTACTGCCCCCGGCCCATTCATTTTTTTTTTTTTTTTTTACAGAGACTGTGTCTCACTGTGTTGGCCAGGCTAGCCTTGAACTCTTGGGCCCAGGCGATCCTTCTACCTCGGCCTCCCAAAGTGCTGAGACTACAGGTGTGAGCCACTGCACTTGGCCCCATCTATTATTTTTAAGGGCTTGTAAAAATGGCAGAAATATAAGATTACAATATATTATAAAAAAGATAGAAATATGACTGTAATACATTATGAAAAATACAAGGATTGAAATTATATAAGCTCCCAATATAATATAAAAGAGGAAGTCATTAATTCTATTTGGGGAAAATAGAAATTGGATGATCGGAAAATCTTTCTGGGCTGGGCGTGGTGGCTTAAGCCTGTAATCCCAGCACTTTGGAAGGCCAAGGTGGGCAGGTCACTTGAGGTCAGGAGTTCAGCCTGACCAATGGTGAAACCCCATTTCTACTGAAAAATACAAAAGAATCAGCCAGACATGGTGACGTCTGCTGGTAGTCCTAGCTGCTCGGGAGGCTGAGGCAGGAGCCTCAGTTT